TATCACGCCATCCTTGACCTTCTGAATATACGACGCGACAGTAAATTTACTCCTAAGCTGAATGATTTTTTGTACAATGCATATACATTTACGTACATCCTAATCAAAGGTAGTGTATTAATATATGAAATTATATTGTTGATTAAGTATTTTGTTTGTTGCTACCTGAATGCTGCAACATTATTCATTTGAGATTTTCATAAAAATTTCACTATGCGATCTAAATATAATTGTATTATTTATCCATTAGTCTTAATTTAAGTGATAAAGTGTGGAATGAGAAAAGACAAAATATCCCCAACACTATAATAAAATAATCGATATATTCGTCACCTAGGAAAACAATAAAATAAATAATTTGCAAATGTTATTGTATTAAAGCCGGTTATCAATAAAGTGTCTATAATAATATCCACAACAATCAAAGATGAGAACAGCAGTCCTAATAATTCAATGTATAATGATAATTCTCCATCTAAAAAATCAGAAAAAAAATACCAAAAATGTCCCAAAACCGCCGCGATAACGAATGCCGAAAAATTTAACATTAGATTTAAAACATTTAAAAAAAAAGGTATCACTTGCTAACCTTTGGTAACCTAGTGGGTACAAGTTTTGGTTTAAAAGAGTGGCAGTTACCTCGTGGTCATGAGTTCAATCCCTGAACCTGACAGAAAAATTCATGTACTTTTGTTCGGCAGGAACGATCAAGTGACGACGTCTGAGAGACAACGCACGAATCTATGACACATCTATCTCCCAATATAAACACCTGAAAATGATTGGTGGGTATACGATAGCAACTTTGTGTCTATAAGGTGAAAACAGTTGTGCAATAAAATAATGTACGATTGCAACACTGGTATTGCACATTTTACAAGTACACGTATGCATTGACTGCTTGAAGGAATGAGAATTATTGAGCAGAAATCACTCAGGACAGAAAAAGACTTTAAAATCGGCATTCAAATGTTTTGACTCGATTATCAACGAAGAGTTCTTCAGAATAAATTCAAGAGCAACACAGTGACAGCTGTCACAGAGCTTGGAATCTTCTAGAAAGGTAACAATATCTGCATGGAATCAAAGATCAGCCTACTGCGTGCATTGGTCTTCTTGATCTTTCCTTACGCTTGGGAATCTTGGACATTAGAATAACAAAAAATCCCTGCATTAGAAATGAGATGCCTACAAAATCCTTGTAGGCATCTCCTACATAGACCATGTCACAAATGACTCAGTGCGAGACGGCATCAGACATTCAACAGCTGCGTTGGAGAACAGCATAACCACTGTCGAGACAAAAAAGTCGAAATGGCATGATCATATGACAAGAGCCAATAATCTTTCCAATGCTATCCAACAAGGTAACTCCTTTGGTTAAAAAAAAAAAACCCAAAGGAGCCACTTAAGGTAGAGGGTTAGTGTGTGGAGTTATATTAGCGTAGGAGTATAGAGCTGAATGAAGCAGACATCTGAAGGAACTGGAACTCTAATCCTAAACAGGAGACAAGGGATAAACCTCTACTCCTGTTCAAAAGACCAGCGAGAATGTGAACCGGGTCATAGGCGAACATAAAAGAAGAGGCAGGAAGAAGAAAAAATGGGATGTCAACGTTACTGATTGAACTGGAAGATCATTCATCGAAACTCAGACACTGACATGCAACTGAGATATATAGAGGGAGCTGGTCAGGTGCTCCGCTGCACAGCGTCCCGACGATCACGCCGGGTCATCTGGATGATAATAATGACATCTTCACCAGTTTTAACAGCGACTACAGAGGACGGCAGCAATTATCCATCGCATTCATTAAGCAAACTCCCTCGGATCTTCTTCTGCATGTTGGTTGTTCTCTCAGGATGTGAGCGATCATGGTTCGCCACAACTTCCAATCTTTTATTACTTTAACTTTTAATCCTTTACCATGCCTATTTTCCCTTGTTCTGTTATCCGTCTACACAAACTCGTTAAGCAAGTTACCCCTTGTCTACCTCAGTTCGGGAGATTGAAAGTTTTGGAGAGAGTGGAGCTACCTCTTAATTGCTGTTATTCCCAGGTCGACGGTGAGCGTGGCGGTGGGTGGGGGATTGTACCTGTTACGCTCCCAGCTACAGATAAATAGTAAACATCAAGACAAAACAAAAACACTATGATAGGATAAAAATATATATTTTAGTAAAAATACCAGCAATCTCTCTCTCTCTCTCTATATATATATATATATATATATAATTCTCAAAATGTGTGTGTGTGTGTGTGTGTGTGTGTGTGTGTGTGTGTGTGTGTGTAATCGGATGTTGTTTATACGTTTCCACAGTTTTCAACCTATTTCGATGAATTTTCTTTTGTTTGATAATTCTTCAGTGCCGGTTTTGAGTTCAAACTGTTGGCGACAAAGGCTCTTCACTATTTCCTGTCCGTTATAACTCTCAGCAACATTTTACTACTTACTGTCTGTTATTGGATATATATTTCATAAAAACTTTAATAAAAATAGTTTAAATGATTACAATAATATTATCTACATCTATAATTTTCAAAATATGTGTGGGTCTGGGTATGTATGTATGTGTGTGTGTGATCGGATGTTGTTTATGCGATTCCACAATTTTCATCCGATTTCGATTAAATTTTTTTTTGTTTGATAGATAATTCTTCAGTGTCGGTTTTGAGTTCAAATTGGCTGGAAAAAATTACAACTTTGAAAGTGAAAAAACTTTAATCTTTTTTGGGGGCTGACTTTAAACTTAAACTGCTCCAATTGAACGGCAAAAATTTCCAGTAATGAAAAACCCGGTCGAAGACGGGTTATACTGCTAGTACATTCATATATTAAAAAAAAATTACTGACAATACATTTTATAGTAGAATGATCAACAATACTTATTTATAGTAAAATGATCAAGAATACATTTTATTTGTGATTGAAGGCATAAAATTATGTTCAAAATATTTAGATTTCGGCCTTAAGTAACTGTTGTAACCTAGGGAAGGTTACTGAATAGAATAATCAAACAGACGTTGGTAATGAATGATAATACTCACGACACAAACAACACATTCGCCAGCGGCCAACTGCTAGAAGTGAGTCAAGTGAATTTCACATTGAATCTCCAACTGCAGGATATCTACCAACCGCCCTCACGCGGTCAGATGTGGCACAAGGCCGAACTTAATGTGGGGTATCCGAGCCCTTAGGCTCGGCCAAAAAATTTCCCGTAAACCCTGTATAAAACGGAGTCGGGTAGCTGTTTCCTGAGACGAGACTCCGCCCTTCGACAGCCTCGTCTGGGGATCCTCTCTGCACGGAGGCAGAGAGTTTAACCAGCACAGCTGGAGACAGAATCTCAATTACAGACCAACATACAGTATTTACTACCGTATTTATGTGAATGGGGACATACCCATTATTGACCGTAGGTATGCTACAACAATAACCCATAAACAAAATGAATCGATCAATCAACCATTGTCTACCTTGCTTCTCTTGCCTCCAGTAGGCCGTGCGAGGGTTAGAGTCTCCAAGTTTATGACGTGTCCCAAAAATATCAAGTGTCTCTTTCTCATCGTAGGTATACGTTTTCTTGTAGTTCTATTTTCCTTAAAACTTACTCGTTGCTCACGTGTTCTGTCGATGTTAATATCGACATCTGTCGGTAGAACCACACGTCTATCGCTTCAAATCTGTTATGGGCCTTTGAAGGCATTATCCAATATTCACTGCTATATAGGAGATATTAAATAGCACTTTGTTTTTGACACTTTTCTAATATCTTAATACTTCGCTTAGTTTCTTGAAAACCTATTTCTCTATTTTGACGTGCCTTCGGATTTCTGTGCCACGTTTTCCGTCACCTGTGATTTTCACTACCCCAAAAGTTGAATTTCTGTACCTACTTGAAGTTGCCGTCCCCCGATGCGTATCTCACATTCTATCTCCTTACAGTTAAGTTATTCCTTTCTTCTCACTATCCTTTCCTGCCTTATCGAAGTGTCCTTTCAGTTTTCCTTTTGAATCTGACATCAACACAGTGTCATTCTCGTATCTTTTGTTATTAAGATTATGCACGCCAATAATAAAGATCCTGGTCGATTTTAGAGGACTTATGGAGGCTAGTCGCGAAATAATCTTAAAGATTGATAAATAGTAACAAGCATTATTTGATCTACAAACAGAGAAGTGGTTGTTTGGGATATTCAAAATTTTATGATTTCACGTTCCTATTTAGTGGGGTTAACAAGATTGTGCAGCGCCGGACTGCATAAAAAAAAACTTGCTCTCGATGGAAATATTTATTCAAAAAATAATTTTCTTTAATTGAATTCGAACAATGGCACTTGATGTTGAAGGCAGCTTAAACAATGTTTGTCAACAAGCTGGCTTGAATACACCGATGCTATTAGTGTTAGATAGATAGATAGATAGATAGATAGATAGATAGATAGATAGATAGATAGATAGATATTGAGGGAGTGAGGCTGAAAAATACATACTTAGAGATCGATATTGAGAGATAGAAATTGATAGATAGATATTGAGAGAGAGAGAGATTGAGAGATAAATAATAGATACGTATATAAACAGATATGGAGATAGATATTTAGATAGATATAGATACAGAGGTATGGAGATCAATATTGAGATATTGAGAGATAGATAAAGAGATAGATATTGAGAGAGAGATATTAAGAGATAGATATTTATAGATAGAATAGCGATAAATAGAGAGATAGATATTGAGAGAGATATTAAATCGATAGATAAGAATAATATTAATAGATAGACAAGTGTCCAAAAAGATTTTCACTTCCCAAAATCTAATCAAATGTGGTGCTTCCAAGTCAGGCCGAAAACTTTCCAACACCATCTCGCAGATATAGAGATGATGTTGCAGATTTTAAAAGTATTCAAACGTAATAACTGCTATAGAAATAGGAAGATTTTATAGCGCCAGTTATCTCACTACTTTAAAATTTAGTATCTGAAGTACTTTAAATGCATTTTCCGACAACTGAAACCATTTTTCTTTTGTTATTTTGGCTGTTCCCACGACTGATCCATTCTACAACCTTCAGTAAGTGCCTGCTGACCCCTTCTGATGCCTTCGTGCACCTGAAGAAGGGAGTAAAGGAATGAATCATCTGAAACGTTTTGGAAACAATAAAAGTAACAAAAAGAATCTCCTCAGTTGCCTGAATGCCTTTTTGAATGATAACGACTTTTTCTCAAAATTATAGACAGAGTCTGAAACCCTATATTTCTTCTAGTGCAGGCGTCATATAAATAAGCATTGCAGTCAATAATCAGATTGAAATGGAGAAAGAAGTGAGAAAAATATATCGTTGTCAAATTTTCCGCCAGTAGGCTTGATGGGTCTACTCGAAGATACTTATTTTCTCTACCAAGATTATCCGTCTTTTTACCTGCAGTTCAACGTATTTCTCCAAAATTAATGACAGCAATACTTGTAGAAATTCAGATGCACATTTATGCTCCCAAGAGGATTCTTCATTTTGGGGACTCTAAACATGTATTCATGTTATTTAGATCATGGACGGATTTCGACTCAAAGACGTGGATTTTATCTAAGAAAAACTGGATAGTGATTTTACTATATATCGTTATCTGTTTCTTTAGCTCGCTGAAACTGTTGAGAGTGAAAAAGTGAAAGCTGAAAAGGAGGGAAAAATAAAATAAAAGAATTCTAAAGACTTGCTGTGTGACTGCAGTCTCTGTGTCTTTATTATTCTCTTATTTTTCTCTTCTTTCAATAAAACGTATTTATTATTTCGATGTTTGGAAATGAATAGAAATATTTTTGTATTTCTCTGTTGATACTATTCTTTCTTTCTATTTCTTTCTTTCTATTTCTTTCTTTCTATTTCTTTCTTTCTATTTCTTTCTTTCTTTCTATTTCTTTCTTTCTATTTCTTTCTTTCTTTCTATTTCTTTTTGTTCATTTATTCATTCTTTCTTTTGCCATTTTTCTTTCTGTTTGCTTTTCGTTTTTATTTGACTTTTCTTTTTCTTTAGATTTTCTTGATTTTCATTTCCTTTTGTCAGACATTCTTTCGATTGCTTTCTACCTTCTTTTTGTTTTTCCTTATTTCTCCCTTTCCTCTTTCTTTTCTTTTCTCATTCTTTTCTTTTCTCTTTCTTTTCTTTTCTCATTCTTTTCTTTTCTCTTTCTTTTCTTTTCTCTTTCTTTTCTTTTCGTTTTTTATCTTTTCTTTTCATTTCCTTTTGTTTTTCGTTACTTCTTCAATTTTTTTTCTTTCTTTATTCTTTTTTTTATTTTTGTTTTTCCTTTCGCTTTTCTTTCTTGGTGGATTTCTTCTTTTTTTTTTCTTCTTCATGTTTTTCGCTGTTTCTTTCCGTTTGCTTTTCATTCATTTTTCTTTTTCTTATTGCTTTTTTCTTTCTTTTTTTATCTTTCTTTTGTCATTTATCTTTTTTCTTTCTTTTCTTTTTTTGTCTTTATTTTTATATTTTTCTTTCTTTTTGATTTTCATTATTGCATTTGCTTTACCTTTTTCTTTTTTGCTGATACTTGTTGATACTTTCACTTTTACTCTTCATTGTTTCTTTCATTTTTCTTTTTTCTTCTTCCTTCTTTCTTTATTTTCGCCTTCCCTTCTTTCTTACTTTTTCCTCTTTTTCTTTTCTCTCTTTCTCTTTTCTCGTTTTACCTTTCAATTTCTTTTCCTTTATTTTTCTCCTCTTTTTCTTTCACTTTCTTCTCTTCTTCCCATATTTTGACGCATCATCTCTTTGTTCTTTTCCTTAGCCATAATGTTTAAGCTTTTTCCTTTGTAACTTTACTTCCTTTCATCGTACCACCATTTTCTTTCTCAGATCATTCCCCACTCTCATCTCTTAATAACCCCATAAAATAAAAATAGACAAGCCCATGGCAATAACAACCTAGAAAATAAAACGAATGTTCCTTCCTCCAACAGGATGCCGTTCTAATTTTCTGTTTTGCAATTCGGTACAACGTGGAGTTCGGTTGATAAACCTCTGCTGACGTCTGTTGTCGCTGCAAACAAATGCCACCAACCACTTGTCGGGGGTGAACATTCTGACTTTTCGACCTTTCTACATCGCAACTTCATTTTGCTGCGCACGCGAAGCAAAACAAATAGAAAATCTGCAAACCAAAAATTTCATTTTCGTTGCAGTGACATTGAATCTTAGAATCACTAAAACACGTTTCATTCCAAATTAGCAAATAGTATCAACTCGTTTGTCAGTCCCAAGTATGAGCTGATGACCGAGAAATGTAAGCGTCTGTTCCTTGCTTCTTTGACAGAGATCTGAAAGACGGCATTTTATCTCAAGTGTCGAATTATTGTCAGTTTCATCACTTTAACTTAAGCAACAGCAAGCAAAAATTTCCATTTCAAACTGAAATACATTTGTAAAGACGTTCTGTACACACATCACATCATGTTAGTTCGTGTCAAATGTCATATCTATGTTGAATATATTAGCAGAACTAATCAGAGGTTGGAGTTAAGGATTGATCAGGACGTACCAGCTAAGATCCGTCAAATAACAGTATAAAAATATAGATACTCTTTTTAATACTGTGAAAATACGTTGGAAATTGATTTTACTATGAAAATGCATTGGAATGGGATTTTATTGGAAAGGGATTTTACTATGAAAATGCATTAGAAAATAATTTTACTATGAAAATGCATTGGAAAATAATTTTACTATGAAAATGCATTGGAATGAGATTTTACGATGAAAATGCATTGGAAAATAATTTTGCTATGAAAATGCATTGGAATGAGATTTTACCATGAAAATGCATTGGAAAATAATTTTGCTATGAAAATGCATTGGAATGAGATTTTACCATGAAAATGCATTGGAAAATAATTTTGCTATGAAAATGCATTGGAATGAGATTTTACCATGAAAATGCATTGGAAAATAATTTTGCTATGAAAATGCATTGGAATGAGATTTTACCATGAAAATGCATTGGAATGAAAATGCATTGGAAAGGGATTTTACTATGAAAATGTATTGGAATGGGATTTTGCTATGAAAATGCATTGGAATGAGATTTTACTGCCACTCTATGATGGTCCCCATATAACAGGGATTTTATGCACACAAGCCCGTCATCCCTTCTTTCTGTGACCCGTCGGGAATCATTTGCGTGGCTAATAGTTTCTTCAAATTTTAATAAGTTTAATAGATTTGTCCTTCAATACTTTTGCATTATCAGTATTCTTTTAAGTGTGTATTTTTTTAAGTCATGTGTATTGAAAAAAGTTTTGGTGAGTATTGAGAATGACTCCATTAATGTGGGTCTGACTCAATTCCATTATTACTATTGTTCCCATTTGTTCCTTATTTAATCATTCTGTCGGATTAAATCCATATTTTTTCAATTTTCACACACATCCGTACCCACCATATATCGTTGTAATTCATTTTGGTGTGTATTGGCCTTGTGTAATGATTAAAAGACAAAAAAATATTATATGGCACAATATAAGAATACAGAAGTATTAGGTGAAAGTTGAAAGTTCAAGAATTCAAGTGTAAAAGTCCTGGCGCATACGAGAGATATAGAAAGCGAAAGACCCGGGAGGAAGTAAATATATGCATGTATGTACGTATGTATCCAAATGTAGTAGTCGCCGCTTGACCAAGTGGTGAAGGAAGGTATGTTTGTTTTCAATGTAGCAAGGACGGGTTCTCCATCTAAGGTCACTAGCTAGTCGTGGAAAATGTTACGATAATTGTGACATTTCGTTCTACTTGTTATTATTTGTTTATTTCTTTTCTTACATCCTGATCATGAAACCTTTCTGATTGGTTGCTCGAACTATGGTTATGCTTAACTGATGATTTATATTTTCTATCTATTTTTAGAGATGCTGAAATTTGGTCTTCTTGTTATTTATTTTTGTTTTTTTTATTTCTTTCTTGACAATGACTGTTACAGGCAGAAAATTGAATATATATATATTATATATATATATATATATATATATATATATATATATATATATATATATATATAGCGTACAGTGAGTGAAATTTGGTATTGGACCAAACGGTGAGGGCAAATATATGAGATTGTAAAAATGATGAAATGACGAAATGCATTACATGAGAAGTTTTTCCACTTTGTCATACATATTTCCTCCATATATATATATATATATATATATATATGTGTGCGTGTGTGTGTGCACTGAAGTCAATACAGTCTCACAGTATGTTTCATCCTTGAACGCAAACTTCAGACATGAAACAGCTGTTTCCGCTCTTTGTTGGCCTCAGTGTCCACTTTTATATTTACATACATTCTGTTCCTGAAATTGAGCACTTTCACCCATAAATACAGCATAAAAGAAAAACTGTATTATCATATATATATATATATATATATATATATATATATATATATATATATATATAAGTATATGTATATATGCTCATGCACACTTTATGTTTTAGAATAGGACTTGTTTCCTCGGCCTAGTGTTCTGTTCCTTCGTCACTATATCTAACTACGACCTTCCTAATTCTCGGCTATTTTGAACAAAGACAACATTACAACACTATAAAATCTTTATACATTCAGGACACCCGTTAAGCACTTATATTTACATTTAGTAATGATTAAAAAATTGAGTGGGTAGCGTGGTTTTTATCGGCGCGGGCGGTAAACTCGGTGAGCCGAATTCAAATTCTACTGTCGACTAAGTTTATGTTGTAAAAACATAAATGCAACACTTCTCTTCAACCTTTGGATTAAATATATCTACCCTTGTATGACAGGTATTACAGAAACAGCATTACTCTGAATTTCAAACCGTGAAGAATGCAATGAGAAGTCACTTCATTATCTTTCCACAATAAATCATGTTAATTCACACATATTAAAAGAATAAGTAATATGCGGAAAGTCCTGATCGCCTATATTCTGATTGGTTCGTCGAAATGTAGACATGGGGTCTGTTGATTCTGAATATACATCTATTTTTAGAGATGTTTCAATTTTGGTCTCCTTTTTATTTTTTTAATTAGTTTTCTATCACTACAAATCCGCATTTACGTCCCTTTTATACGAATAGACAGAATAATCTTTAAAAAAAAAAAAAAAAAAAAAGAAGTGTAAACGCCTACAAGATGAAAACTGCGAACGGGTCCAGTCGCATATCCGCGCGTAGATCTGTTTGAATAGTTATACAGCAGTGTTGTATCCTTAAAGAGGTTACATACAGACAAAGGTGGTACTTGGGTGAAGGAACAGCAACATGCGCGTAGATGAAAGAAGAGAGGCTTATTGTAAAAGTGAATATACGACTGAAAGACAGGAAATCTGGTAGCAGGCTAGTAATTCCCGAAGCCAATCCCAGTTATATCCAGTAGTCACAATATATAGCCACTGATATAGCCAGTCCACATAGGCGATAGGGAGTGTGGGACATTCCATTACAACAAGTAGTAACCAGCACTCAGTGGTCCTATACGTCCCATGCTCCGGTACTTTTTTAAGCAGCCGCTGTTAGTTCGTTGAGTGGCTTCAAAGGCAACGCCACACGCAGTAGTCAATAGCAGCTGAGTGTTTTGGCGATACGGTCTTTCTCCTTTCTTATGTACAGCTGCATATCAGGATAGTAAGTATATATTATTTTATGGTTTTAGGCTTTTTTTTTTTGTCTTTGCAACAATAAAACCTTGTTTGGAAGCATTACTTATTGTTCTATTTCCTGTTTTAAGCTCTGTTTTACCCTTGATAACACAACAATATAGATGTGGAATGGCCGGGAAAGACTGTTTACATAGGCATTCTAGGAGTCATTTCTGTGATCCGGCAGTAACCTGATCACAAGGATGCCGGATTAAAGAGGTAGAATAATTACTAAGCATTAGCTTAATCTGGGATAAGAGCTCTATATTGCTCTTTTATGAAAGGTCAAACAAAGCTTAAAAGGGGAAATAAAGCAATCGCTAATGCTTTGAAACAAGGTGGAAACTAGATGAAAAAATCATCCAAAATCGATAAAATTATTATTACTATTCTCCGAAGCTACGGTCATCGTAACGTAACTAGAGCCGAAATGCGGCCAGCTGGCGACCTGAGATGCCTAAAACGTTTTGTTAGATTTAAAAACATACACCCTTTCTTTCTACACGTTTTTAAGCAGCCCTCTGAATCAGTTGAAAACAGGCGTACCTTCCTTCATCCATATTTTACGCAGATGGCTACTACATTTGGATGCATACATACATATATATTTACTTCCTCCTGGACTCACTCACTCACTCACTCTCTCTCTCTCTCACTCTCCATCTCTCTCTCTCTGTCTCTCTCTCTCTGTCTCTCTCTCTCTCTGTCTCTCTCTCATGCGCAATGATTTTCACATTTGAACTCTTGAAACTTCAATTTCCACCTTATCCTTCTGTATTATTATATCGTGTTATATAAAGATTTATTTTCTATTTAGCAATATTATATTCATTTTCTTTTAATTATTACACAAAGACAATATACACCCAAACCAAATATAGCGATATATGGAGGGGGAACAAACGTTGTAACATCCACAAATCCTCCATATTTAATAACTCCACTACCACCATAGACACAGAACACCTACACTTAGATTCATTCACATCGTATAATAAACGATTGTATAAAATGGTTGAAAAGAATGGTAATGGTAATATTAACCGTTTCCTTATAAGGAAACATTATTAGCCGTTTCCTTATAAGGAAA